TTCCAATTCAATGTGCAAAGCCTCTTAGATGTGCTACGCGTGCGGCCCGATTCTTGAACAAAAGGTTTCGGTCGTGACCCGTTTTCCGCTGTTGCAAGGATCAACAGAGTCTTTGAAATATACATTCTGTTTGGATTCTCTTCTTTTATCGAAAGGGATTAAAGATTTCGTTTAGAAAAAGAAGGAAATATGTTAGCTCTAATGAAAAAAAAATCACCGAAAATTCATCTTTGGTGTATAGAGGACATCCTTAGCCAAATTTCTTTAAGCGATGATTTAGATCAAGGAGAGAATAATTTCCTCAAACTTTATAAATCCCTTTTGTTTACCTCCCTGATGCTGCAGCTTCCATCGTAATAATTATGGCGGAATGAAGGGATGTAGAACCGTTGTATTTATGGATATCCAGCAATTGGCCGCTGAACAGAGGGGGAAGCTAGGGGGAGGGGGAGGGAAAGAGCTAGGGGAGGGGGAGGAAAGAGAGCTATGGGGATGGGGGGAGGAAAGAGCTAGCTAGGGGGAGGGGTAGAACTGCACCCCGAGAACCAGAGTAATCATGAGCTGTTGAAAATGTGTGGTTATTCCGATATTTTTCTCTGGTTTTCATTATCAGGAAGGGCTAAAAATCTGAGGGGAGGTAAACAAGCAGTTATTATTTTGTGATTTATGACTACGTGTTCAAACAATTATCAACTTACATTACAGATAGGGTAAAAAGAAAGAAAGAAAAAAATGGCAAAATAAACTCAAAAATATGTAGAGATTATTGTGATATGGAAAATGGCGAGTCAAATATACGAGACCAAATAAAAGAACAATATTCAGGGGGATATTATGAACAGTATTACCAATGTTGTCGTTTATTACACATCTGATAATAGGAGTCCATGTTTTCAACTGCTCCAGCTAAGAGGCACATAAAGAGCATGCATTAAACTAAAGATCTAAAACACAATTATAATTTTGAAAAATCGAGACAGTTATGACCGAGTTCTTGGAAAGAGAGAAATGAACTCTGGTTAGTGTCATATATGTTACCAATAGTTTT